AAATAAGGGAGATCGCCGCCGTCGTTGATCCATCTCCTTTGGGGATGGTTGTTGTTCTTGAAGGATCCATGGACTGTGTTTGGTTGGATTACTGTCTTTCATACTTGTTACACACTTACATGTATCTGCTGACACACTGACTACCATTTATATTGACATTCTACATTGTTCTGTTTTATATGGACAAATAAATTAACTTAATAATTAGCTGTGGTGTGTGGTGACTCCCTTATTTTGTTGCGATCCAGAAAGAGATTATTCAGTGATTGAGAAAGAGGCTTTATCTTTAATCTGGGCACTTCAGTTTTTTGACGTGTATGTGGGGGGAGGAATGCCCGTAGAGGTGTATTCTGATCACAATCCCTTAACATTTTTGCATTCTTTATAGTCGCCGAGTCAGTGCTTAATGCATTGGATTCTCTTTTTACAGCCTTATAATTTGATTGTTAAACACATTAAAGGATCGGATAAAGTAGTGGCAGGGGCGTTGTCCCAGCTCCCTGAATATTCAGTGTCTGCACGTCCCCTCAGGGCATCCGGCCCCTTCAATATTGGCTAAAAGTCCACGTCCCGTCCCACGCGTAGCGCCTGGGCCGCGTTTATTTCAGGGTAACCTATCGCTGTGTCAAAGCTGTGGCCCCTTGGACAACTCCCTGCCTGTTTCTGTCAGGCGTGCAGTTGATCCGGTTTGGGAACGGATCTCTTTTAAAGGGGTGTGTGTGACGGTTCCAGCAAGTAAACTGTTATTTCTGAGTTACAGGTGATTTGGCTGAGGGGAGTGGTTGCACACCTGAAGGTAATCATGGCACTCTATAAAAGACTGGGACAGAGATGGCGTGGCGTGAGCGTGGGCTGGGCTTGTGCGGAGCTTGAGCTGTCTTTGTTTGCTCCGTATCTTGGGTTACACATGAGGCTACCGGAGGACTGATGAGATGTGAGAAATAAGGGAGATCGCCGCCGTCGTTGATCCATCTCCTTTGGGGATGGTTGTTGTTCTTGGAGGATCCATGGACTGTGTTTGGTTGGATTACTGTCTTTCATACTTGTTACACACTTACATGTATCTGCTGACACACTGACTACCATTTATATTGACATTCTACATTGTTCTGTTTTATATGGACAAATAAATTAACTTAATAATTAGCTGTGGTGTGTGGTGACTCCCTTATTTTGTTGCGATCCAGAAAGAGATCGTAACAGCTCCCTGAATATTCAGTGTCTGCACGTCCCCTCAGGGCATCCGGCCCCTTCAATATTGGCTAAAAGTCCACGTCCCGTCCCACGCGTAGCGCCTGGGCCGCGTTTATTTCAGGGTAACCTATCGCTGTGTCAAAGCTGTGGCCCCTTGGACAACTCCCTGCCTGTTTCTGTCAGGCGTGAATTTGGGAACGACCTACAGAAGGAAGGTGGTCATGACGGGCACCTCCAGCTCGGGCTGGGGCGAGGGCAATCCGGCGTACTGCTCCTGGTCGACCCACGAGCGACGCCTACATATCAACTGCCTCAAAATGATGGCTGTTTGCTGGCCCTGAAAACCTTCCTGCCAGCCTTAAAGGGGCACCACGACCTGGTCCACTCGGACAACACGGCTGTGGTAGCCTATATCAACCGCCAAGGCAGCCTCAGGTCACGTCCTCTTCACAGGATGACTCGACGTCTCCTGCTTTGGGCACAGAGAGAACTCCTCTCACTACGAGCGTTTCATGTGCCAGGCAGACTGAAACAGGGAGCAGATATGTTGTCAAGGGACAATGTAGCTCCAGGGGAATGGAGGCTACATCCCCAGACGGGTCAGTTTTCGGCAGGGCAAGTGGTCGACCTCTTTGCCTCCGACGACAACTATCACTGCCCAACCTATTTTTCAAGAGAGCGGGATGCTCTGGCCCACGATTGGCCCAACACCCATCTGTATGCCTTCCCTCCGATCGCCCTGCTACCACAGGTTATCAGGCGAGTCAGGGACACAAAGTGCTCTCTCCTCCTCGTGGCCCCTCTCTGGAGGAACCAAGTCTGGTTTCCGGAGATGATCCAACTGCTATCTGCAGCACCGTGGTCCTGCAATACCCCTGAGGAGAGACCTTCTCTCGCAGGCGCAGGGCAAGATTTGGCATCCCCAGCTGGAAGTGTGGAACCTTCATGTCTGGCCACTCGACGGGAGTCCAGTCAACTCCCAGCGAGAGTCACTAATACCATTTTAGAGGCTAGAGCTCAGTCTACAAGGTGCCTCTATGCCCTTAAGTGGTCAGTCTTCAGTGACTGGTGTTCAGCACGGAACAAGGATCCGGTATCATCTGACGTGTCCCACGTGCTAACCTTTTTGCAGGAGCTGCTGGATAAGGGGCGCACCCCTTTCACGCTCAAAGTCTATGTGGCAGCCATCGCGGCAAATCATTCTCTCGAGGCTGGACGGACAATTGGCAGGAACGACTTGGTCATTAAGTTTCTTAGAGGTGCTTGGCGGTTAAACCGTCCTTGCCCTAGGATGGTGCCAGTATGGGACTTGTCTATAGTCCTGAGAGCTCTCAAGAGCTCCCCCAAACAGCCGGCTTAAGGGTCATGACACTCAAAACCGCTCTGCTTTTGGCCCTGGCGTCAGTCAAGCGAGTAGGGAACTTGCAAGACCTGTCTGTCAGTGCTTCCTGTCTTGAGTTTGGACCCAACAACTGTAAAGTCGTTCTTCAACTGCACAGCAGTTATGTAACGAAGGTGCTCTCAACTCCGTTTAGAGCCCAGGGGCCTGATGTATAAACGTTGCGTATGCACAAAATGGGCATGGAAATGTGCGTACACAATTTTCCACGCACATATCGGGATTTATAAAAAATAAACAATGCGTAAATATGTGCGCACCGTACGGACACTCTAGACCAGTGATGGGCAAACTTGGCCCTTCCAGGCCACTAATGACAGTAGAACTGTTCACAGGCGTCGCACACAGACAGTAGCCCAATGATAACCCCTTTCGTGCTCTCCCCAATATTGGGACAACCACCATATTTAAAAGATAGAATTTGAAGGAAACTGAAAGATATGCGTGTTTTATTTTCAAAATGTTTTGTTATTGACGCGTTGAGTCAGACAGCTACACTGCAAAAAAATAAGGCCTATCACTTTCCATAAAAATATAGGCTATAAACATTCTAAAATATATGTTTACCTTTTAGGCAAATTTCATAAATTAGAATAGTGATGTCTCAAAACGCATTTATAGTCCATATCTCATATTTTCCTAATGTGTTGTAGGCTACCCTTAACTGCGTTAAACATGGTGTCACGTGGATGGAAATATGCATGGAAATGATATGCAGATGACGTTATGCATATTAAAACTAGGCGTTGTAAGCTCAGGCTTATGGAGCCCTCGCTGAGTGTTCCTGGGCTGAACTCGCAAAGCAGGCTAAGTTCTGCATCTGCATATAGCACGGCGCTACTGTCAAACGACAATGCAACGGGAGTTACCTTTCGATAGGGAACGCTCCAGTTACTCACGTAATCTCGGTTCCCTGAGATAAGGGAACGAGCGTTGCGCAAATGGCTGTGCTACAGCTACACACGAATCGATGGCTGTCGCTTCAGTCGTATGGTTCTGATGAGATGGCGCTCCGAGCCGACTTATATGGCGGTTGGCTCCGCCCCTTCTGGCAGGCTCGAGCACCATTGGTTTGTGCAGCTACACAAACGTTAACCAATCAGGCTTCAGTAATAGAGTAAACAGGAGTTTCCCCAAGCAGTCGTCAAACGACAACGCAACGCTTTCCCTTATCTCAGGGAACCGAGGTTACGCGAGTACCCGGAGCGTTATATGTACCTGACCTGAGGGTATTTAAATGAAGTTTATTAGGGTTTTTAATATATGTGACCCTGGACCACAAAACCAGTCATAAGTAGCACGGCTATATTTTTCTTTTATGCCAAAAATCATTAGGATATTAAGTAAAGACCACATTCCATAAAGATATTTTGTAAATTTCCTACCGTAAATATACCAAAACGTAATTTTTGATTAGTAATATGCATAGCTAAGAACTTCATTTGGACAAATTTAAAGGCGATTTTCTCACTATTTTGATTTTTTTGCAGATATTCAAATAGTTGTATTTCGGCCTAATTTTGTCCGATCCGAACAAACCATACATCAATGGAAAGCTTATTTATTCAGCTTGCAGATGATGTATAAATCTCAATTTCAAAAATTGACCCTTATGACTGGTTTTGTGGTCCAGGGTCACATATATACATAAATACTGCAAGGCAAATTCAGTTGTGGACAAATGTGAATTCATATAAGAGGAACACATATGCATACATAAGATGTTTACACAAGACCAACAACACGGTTCTGCACTGATTTTGCAGAAGCAGAAAATGGCAATGTCCTGGTCAAATCTAGACATTCTTAAAATGAGCATGACCTAATGTAAATGGTTAAGCAGCAGTCTAATTCCTCATTTTGAAGATCAAAAAAGATCTTAACAATGCTGTGAAATCCCACGTTTTGCTCTTGTTCCGTAATGGAATTCACAAGCAGTAAATCTACCTACCACTTAAAAATTAAAGCAGAAGTAAAGAAAAATTTACATCAGCTATTGAATAGACAACAGGTTCGATAAATCTAATTCAGTTCACGGATAAATCAACAATTCATGTAGAGAAATGCATTCATTTAAACGATGGATAAACCGATGGTAAGAGAATTTGTGATTCGGTTTATGGGTTGAAAAGTTAACCAACATGCATCAACATGTAGAACACTTTCCAGGCAAGGCATCTTGAGATTACGCAATTACTGCATGATATAAAAAAAACCGCTTAATCATCTTTTTCCCTTTAAATGAGCTGTTCGAAACAACCGATTCGTGATAAATGACTTGTCGCGTTTTTGCAAAAATTTTATTGCACTGCCTAAATTAGCTTTATGCATCCAAGCAACATTTTGTAACATGCTCAAAATATAAACATGTTTCTCAATAAACCAGAATGCCGTAAAGTACACTTACTTTAATTTTCTCGCCTTCTAAATCAAGAAGTTTCTCACGAAAATCCACCCCGATTGTAGCCTCCGTTCTGCTGGGAAATTGTCCGGTGCAGAAGCGGTGAGTCAAACAAGTCTTACCGACACCGGCATCTCCAATCACAATGATCTTACAGGTACGACACCGGCAGCGCACCGGGTTACCGTTCGATGAAGTGGAGCTCTCTAAAGACGAATCCATCTACCGTTCCAGTGTCGAAACAAACATGTGAAATGGATGTTAAAATGAGGCTAAAAGTTCAGAGCACTCCTCACATGCCCATGACTGATGGTTTCTGATTACAAGAACTTCCCCTTCAATAAGAGAAATCTGGACTCGTTTTCAAAACAACCCGTCATAAGATGTCAAAGCAGGTAATTAAAGTAAACGTGTGCTTTTTTGCAAATAATAAAAAACACAATTGTTTATTTTATGCATGAATTCATGTATGCAAGTATGCATACAATAAAAAGGGGTAAGAACCGTTTTTAAAAAGAGAAGTCTGACATCCAGCTTGGACAGAAACCAAAACAGCCCACAGTTATTTCATATCCCTCTTCAGTAGATAAAACGGTTTCTCGTGTAAAATTGTAAACAAGTGAGGCAAAGTATGCTTTGAAATGCTGATGAAATGCTTTGAAGAGTTTTAAAGACTACCAAAGTCAATGTGAAAAAACAGTGATGTGCATGGACTGGTGCAAAATGTGTGCTCTCACTGTTTGATTTTTTTATTACAAAAAAATCTATCATACAACAAACTCTTCTTTGAACACTGTAACCCATTTGGATCAAACAGAGTGATAGAATGAGGTAAAATGAAGGAGAAAGGAGGAAAAAGGTTTTCTTTTGTCAACTTCACAGGCTCTTGATCACAGTTTACTGTTGTTTGTTGGATACAGCCTCTTCCAGCTCCAATATATGCAAAAAGGAACCTCTACACATGCTGCTTCCCCATTATGACATCACTCCCTGTCCACACCCAATCTTTCCCCTAAACGTGTCCAATAATTCAGCTGCCTTTTCACACCAACTCAAAATAGATCTTTTGCACAACAAGCCACGCATCCTTTTATTTTTCATATAAATTACTCTTTAAAATAGGGGAAAGATGGGTTTTGAGTGCGCTTCTCTTGCTTGGTTTGTTGACTATGGGATTTGCTCTCGCCATTGCATAAAGTTTGCATTCAGACATACTGTATTTCAAAATGGGATGCATGTTTGGCTAGTTTTCAGTTAGAGAGTAGTCATCAGCAAGGTTAAAAAAGTAAAATGGGCATTTCATTCTCTTCCCCCCCCCCATGCCCCTCCTCTTCTTCCTCCACTCCAAAACACAGTCATTGTCTGTCAGTCCTCACTGCAATTTCTGGGGGTGTAGAAGATCGCAGGAAGTTCCTCACAGAATCGCAATAGTCAGTGGCAACCGTCTCGGGTGTTTGACAGTGGCAGTGCCGCACCGCTTCCCATTCCACCTCCTCCCTCAGTCCTTCACCCTCTTCGGATGTTCACATATCATTGGCCAGCTCCTCAGATTCTGTGGAGACGTCTCCATTGACCGCAATCTTCATGTTTTCCTCGTAGCCTGGGGGCATGAAGGCCAGTGTATAGGGGTAGATCTTATGACACTCCGCTCGGTATAACTCGGCCGTTTCCTTAGCCTCTCCAAGGCCGCCATCACGCAGGCTTTCCAAAACCTCTGTACAGATCTGCAAAAATAAAGTAGTAATATATTATAAGCATGTAATACACCAGGGTTACCCAATTGGGGGTTAATAAGTTGCATAACTGCAGGGGGTTCATAAGTTGATGAAAAGCTAATAATTAATTAAACAATGTATAATTAAAATAAAGAAATGCCTCTGCTTCCTGGTAATTCACTCACCCCCATGTCATCCAAGATATTCATATCTTTCTTTCTTCAGTCGAAAAGAAATGAAGGTTTTTTAGGAAAACATTCCAGGATTTTTCTCCATAGTGGACTTCAATGGCGGCCAATGGGTTGAAGGTCCAAATTGCACTTTCAATGCAGCTTCAAAGGGGTCTACGTGATCCCAGCTGAGGAATAAGGGTCTAATCTAGTGAAACGATTGGCCATTTTCTAAAACAAAATAAAAACTTATATAATTTTTAACCATAAATGCTCATCTTGCAGTAGCTTGACCTCACGCATTATGTAGTCATGTTAGAAAGGTCACACATGATGTAGGCGGAAGTACCGACCCAGTGTTTACAAAGTCAAACGCCCTTTACAAAAAAGGTAAAACAACGATGTTGGACGATTTTGAAGTTGGAGAAAATGAGATGGACTTTGTCGCCCTAGCCTACCTTTCTGAACCAAAGTACACACAGACGAAGAACTAACCGTGCGTGGCTTTTCCACCGTGATTACGTAATACATGAAGTTGCACATGCACTTTGCAGAGCTAGTGCAAGACAATCATTTGTAGTTAGAAAGTATATAATTTTTATTCTTTTAAGAAAATGACCGATCGTTTGACCCTTATTTCTCGGTTGGGATCGTGTAGAGCCATTTGAAGCTGCATTGAAACTGCAATTTGGACCTTCAACCTGTTGGCCGCCATTGAAGTCCACTATATGGAGGAAAATCCTGGAATGTTTTCCTCAAAATCCTTAATTTCTTTTCAACTGAAGACAGACAGACATGAACATCTTGGATGACATGGGGGTGAGTGAATTATCAGGAAATTTTTATTCTGTAAGTGAACTAATCCTTTAAAGTCCTGTAGCCCATTATGTACCTGGATGTTTCTGTTGTTCAGTGATTCATCAAGTGCTATAGCCAGTTCCACCGCTTTCTTCTGTGTTGAAGGGTCTAAGTAGAACATCATTTTGGCAGCTGTAAAGGAAGAAAACAAGTGAAATTGAAAATTGAACATGAAAAATAAGCAAGTTTTTAAAAAAAGCTGAGTGCATATAAAGTGTTGAGTATGTGCACCTGCTACTCGATGAGGGATGGAATTGAAGTGCTTGGTGAGGAACGCCTGGTTGAAGCTCTTAGCATTACTTTCCCCAAACAGCCTGGAGATTTCCTGCTTGAGAACCATGCTGACCGATTCTGCTAGGTCTTTACTTTCAGACACTGTCAGCCAATCAATAGCAACACATTACTAAACAAACTTTACAATACAACCAATCACAACACATTGAGGTGAATATGGTGTCAAAAGCAACAAATAAGACAGAGACCAATTGATATAAAAACTACTAAACTAAGAGCAAGAGGCAACCTGGGTTCACTCACCTCCTTTAAAGAAGCGCACTAAACACTGGTGAAGCCAAGGGTGGTCCGGGTCTATTGCATAGGCCCTCTTCACTGACTGTAGCATTAACAGGAATTTTTCTATGAGGAAATTGAGGACAAAGAACATTTAAAAAATGCATCTATTCAAGTCGCGATGGAACGGAAGTCGCAACGGAAAATTTCTTTCATACATCCAAGAGAAACATTATCAAAAAAGAAAAACTATTATTAGACTGTACAAATGGAGATGTAAAGCATATACCTTTCCTAAAGTAGATCTCAAAGGCCAGAAGGTGTGTGTCTATCTTATTCTTCACCAGGTTTTTCAAGGGTGTCAAAAACTTTACAGCTTCATCTAATGGGTTCTCAACCTTAAAAATGAAAGAGAAAGAGAAACATTTTTGTCCAAGCACAATAAAAGTCTTTGAGTTTCTTCCAATTTCCCTTTGGGTTCCTACTAAAGAGACGAATTGTTTAGAAGCCTTTTAGATAAAGAATTCCCCACTTTCACAAACATTACTCTTAAAACAAACACACACCCTGGCGAGTTTCTCTGGTATAAGTTCCTCTTTAGGTCCACCGATCTCTTCGTCATCATCCTCTTTTTTCTTTTTCTGGTTCTTTAACTGTTTCTCTTTCTCTGCATTCTTTTTTTCTTCCTCCAGCTGTGCTTTCTTCTGTGCTCTCCGTTGCTTATTCCTTAACTTCTTCAGTTCTTTGTCAGTCAGGTTCCCTGTTTGGAAAACAGAAGCAACATTAAGCACACTTTAAACATATACAGACTTGCTTCAGTGTATGGAAGCCCATTTCTGGCATGGAATAAAAAAAATGTAATTACAACTTTTTCCTCCTCCGCACAATTTAGACTCGTTTTCTCGCAATTGAAAATACCTTTTTCTCAGAACTGTGAAAAATGCAAAAACTCTTTACATCTCAAAATCTGACTTTGTTTCTTTGAATACTGAGTCTACATCTTGCAATTCTGTTTTGTTTAGTGCTGTCAAACGATTGATTGCGATTAATCGCATTCCAGGATAAAAGTTTGTGTTTGCATAATATGTGTGTGTTGTGTATATTTATTATGTATATATAGACATATATAATATATAAATTGAAAATATTTACATGTCTATATTTATATTCATATATTTTCTATTATAAATAAATATATTTAATACATAAAAATAAAATTTTTCTGAAATATATACATGCATGTTTGTGTATTTACATATACATAATAAAGTACTAAAAAAAGTACACATACATATATTATGTAAACAAAAACTTTTATTTTGGATGCGATTAATCGCGATTAATCGTTTGACAGCACTAGTTTTGTTGTTTCCACCACAGAACAAAAAATAAAGTTAATTGCGTCTTGTTTGTCTCACTATTCTGACTTTTCTCCCCCTCACAATTCTACAAGGAAAAAAAGTCAAAACTGTGAGGGGTAAGAGTCGCAAATACCTTTATTTTTTTATTCCATGACAGAAACTGTTTTCTAAAGATTTATGCCATATTACCAGTATCAGCCTGTAGCTCCTTGCTGTCATCCGTTAGCGGGTTGTCATGCAGGTTGAGGTAGATTAGGATGGCGGTTTGTGAGGCTTTGAAGTAGAATGGGTGCATACGTAACACGTCCTCCAGTTTAAGCAGGTCCACATAGGAACGCAGCGTCATCTTCCGCATGCAATATGTATGGAAGTCAAACTGGTCATCTGTTATCTCTACAAAGTGCTGTAATAAACGAATGTGAGAAGGAAGTAGTCAGATGAGGAGGTAAAAGCAACACACAAATACCATAATATATTGACAAAGCAAAGACGACTAACCCTTTCAATCTCATGGCATTTTTTGAGTGCTTCTCCATATTTCTTCATGGATTTATAGGCCAGAGCACATTCAGTCTGGAACCACATGCACTGCATCTCATTCAGATTCTCTACCGCGGACGCTCCCTCCTGAGAGAGAGGAACAAAGCGGTTACACACAAAACACCTATGAGAAGATTAGGTACTCAAAAGTGCGCACACAGTTCCCTTACCCTTGTGAATTTGGCACACATTTCCTCAGCCTCCTTAATCAGACCTGCTTTAAGCAGGTACTTGGCGC